TACAAGAATCTACATGTGATCTCCTCCCTGGGGGACAGGTAATAGAAAAGTGAGTGAAGGGAGACGTCGGACAGGGCAAGATATGACAAAATAATTTATAAATTATCCAGGGTTCATGAGAGAGGGGGAGCGGGGAGGGAGGGGAAAAATGCCAGGGGCTTAAGTGGAGAGCTATGAGGGCAATGAATGTACAATGTGCTTTACTCAATTGATGTATGTATGGATTGTGATAAGAGTTGTATGAGACCCTAATACAACAATTAAAATTAAAAAAAAGTTTTTAATGCTACTTTTTATTGTTTATACTTTCTTTTTTAACTTCATTCTTTATTTACAGTCAGTGGTTGACGATTAAAGAACTTGGGCTGTGCATTGAGTTAAGCATTAGGATGCTCACTGTAAGGCTGAGTCAAACTTCAGCCTTTCCAGAAGAGAACAATGACCAGGTCTACCTCTTACAGGGCTTGACTGTTGGAAACCCCGTGGAGCAATTCTCTACCTTGTAGGCTTGCTATGAGTCAGAATTAACTTGACGACAGGATTTGGTTTGTGGTTTTAGTTTGATGATTACAGGATTGAATTGTATATGAATTGTTATCTCTTTATTGTTTTTACTGTATTTCCTTGTATACCTGTTTATCGTTTGACTGTGGTTTTTTTATACTTATTTTATCTTTTGACTGTGACTATTGTATTTGAAATTCTATTTCTGGGAATAACTTGAATTTAATTTCTTGCTGTGTGAATTTTTACCACCACGTTCTTTTTAATAATTTCATAATTTGCTGTAGACATGTCATAATATATTTAACTGTTTCTTTATTGATGGACATTTAAGTCGTTTTTAGTTATTTTAAAATTATTTCTCACCATTCTAAACAATGATACAGAAAAATATTATTTAGATTACTGGGATTTTTGAGAGAATCATTCAAACTAAACTCATTGCAGTGAAATCAATTCCAGCTCATAGCAACCCTGTACGGGGTTTCGGAAGCTGTAAATTTTTACAGGAACAGATGGCCTCATCACTGTTCCTCAAAGTGGCTCCTGAGTTTGAAACTCCCATCTGGTAGTTAGCAGTCTAGTACTTAACTGACAGTGCCACCAGGAATACTTCCCACTCAAGTT